CATGTGCAGCATATGTTTGATATAAATTTACACAAAGTTTATATATATATATATTAAATTTTATCTCTGGGATATGCTATTTTAGCCTAAATTCTAAAAGAAAATTTACCTTAGATTAACTTTATAACTCTAAAACTGATGTAAATAGATATTTTTTACATTTTTATACTAAATACGAGTAGAATCATTTAAAAAATACAAATATTTATTTTAAATATAATTATCATAAATTATTTAATGAAAAAATAAAATTATCTACAACGAAAATCAATATATCCTTACCTTAAAGGATGTAAATAATAAGACAATTCGAATAAAATTTATTATGATTTAATTTTAAAATTAAGACATTATATAAGATAAATTTCTAACCTTATTATGAAAGTATTCAGAAGAAATTTATCAGATTTATTACAGTAATTTCTTTAAACAGTTTTATCAATTTTTCAAAGAAATTGCCATAGTAAATTGACAATAAAATTTAATTTTTGAACAGTTTCCTGATAACCGAAATACCGATCCTTTAGTTTATAAACAATTCGTTTTACTTGTAAAATAAAACAAAATTGTATGCGAGATATCAAAGACGATATATTAAACTCTATACTTTATTTTGTGTATCGCTTTAAGTATAAACTTTAATGTATAATTCTTGATAATTTTGTATTTCAAAAGAGATTTTAAATCTCTTTTGAAATATACAGCATAATCAAATTTAATAAACAGATTATTCCATGCCAATTTTTCGCTTGTATTAACGATAATAGCTCGTAAAAACTTTTATTTCCTTATTTTCATTATACTGTATAATTTCTTTCTTTCTTTTTTGTTTTTGAAAATCTACACATTAATCTCATTCATATTATTTCATTTACATACACAAAAAATTTACTTATAACAATTTTAAATCGTCATTTTAAAATATAATAATCATTTTTTCAATCAAAATATAAAATACTATTAATTTCCCGGCTCTGTTATATATGATGGAAAGCATGGCGACCGGTCAAAAAATGACCCTCAAGATTTTTATATTTTTGGACTTAGGACACCTTGAAACGTCGAAAAATGCAAACAAATCGGGCTTTATTTTCTATATGTATTAATGTTAGTAGAGAGGTTGCGACCGAAGTTTTCATTTCTCAAACGTGAACGTCGAACGTCGAGCGCCGATTACAATATTGTAATCGGCGCTCGACGTTCGACGTTCACGTTTGAGAGATGAAAACTTCGGCCGCAATCTCTCTAGTGTGTGTGGGGGGGCGATTTTGTTCACCCTGTTTGTACTTTTTGTCGAACATTTCTGAAATTTTGCCGGGAGGTTTGTGTATTATAGGGATTGATGCTATTAAATTTTCATGGTTAAAGATCGAGGAGGTGGGGAGATAGAGGGGAGTCATGCGTCATATTTCGAGTAGGATTAGATTTAATGACGATTCTACTCGTTATTACACTTTTAATATATATATATATAGGCCTATATATATATATATAACCCATCTCTACTCTCAAAATTAACTCTTTTGTCATTTTATATTAATTAAAAGTATAAAAAAAGAGATTTTTATAAAATATCATAACAGATGGCGCCACACATGCAGTTTTAAAAGTTCCCGTAAAGTTAAGCAACTCGTTGCTAGATATTTTTTTTTAACGAAACTGAATAATTGACTCATAAAATTATTCAATCAGATATAATTATTAAGAACTATAAATTGTAAATAGTTTTATTAAGTTTAAAATATTTAATATATATTATATCTTCGTAAAAGAATTTTAAATCGATAATCTTAAATTACTAACAACAAAATTTTTATACAGTTTTTCAATTATGACAA